GCTGAAAGAATAAACTTCTAAAAATACAACATCGGTAAGAACTAGCAAACAGAGTATGGACAAAACGTCATCGTGGCACTTTTGTGAAAGCCGGTATATGAACTCAAAGTAAGAAAATAACAAGGAAATATCTACTGATGTAAAATAGATTTTCATTTGAGATTATGACCTTTAGAGATGTTCTAGTGATATTATAAAAAGTCTAAAAGAGTATGAATACCCAGTAGAGATTATCATCGGGATGTATTCTGCGATAGACCGGGATCAATAAAACACTTTTCAATAATTCATTTGAGCATAACCAATCCTGAAATTAAATTCGATACTGATATGAAGTAACTAGCGTCACAGTAAAGCGTTATGACCGTTTTACTGGTTTTTTCGTCAAGGACAAGGTCTATGCGGAAAAGTCGATGATGAAATTTCGAGCTCATATTTTGCTCATAAACCGATATGATGGTCATTAGAATGTCCTGTAAGTTTCAACCAAACACATGCTGTCGCATCAAGATATCGAATTCTCAAGAAAATCATTGTTTTCTACTCTTTGTGTAAATAAGAGCATTTTTGAAAATTCATGAACTCAAGAAGCATCTTTCTTCATTGAAACCTACTGAAAATTCTAACGATTACCATACAGATTTATGAATAAGTTTCGAGCTCGAAATTTTTTTCATTGAATTTTTTTGGTAAAGATCTTGTCCTGTGGTCAAAAAACTAGTAAAATGACCATAATTTGTTACTACGAGTTTAGTTACCCTTATTCTTCTAGATTTTGCTAGTCTCACTAAAGCTTAAATATCTAATAGCCATAGTCTCAGTCGAAAAGCTAACTTAAACATGAAGAGGTTCCCTTCTGAGTCATTTTATCTGGTTTACTTTTGTACAAAAGAATGCATCGCACCTAGAAAGTTCTTGATAGAAACGAAACGACTGAATTTTATTTCCAGAATAAGATTTGCTCGTAACTCGCTTCTTCCGGCAACAGATGCAAAAAAACGCATTACTCACAGGGGCAGATCCATTCTACTCGATATTTGATGATAATCTACAACAACAGGACGAAATTTATTCAGACTTTTCTGAATTCCAACACGAATACGATTGTTGATATTGATTCGCGAAGACATGAAAAAGTTGTTCTGAACCGTTTTAGAAAACTACCTGACTTTTCATTTTGGTTCGACGGTTTTACGAAACAAAGTTACATTCGTGTTAAGCACATTTCGGATACGGCGAAGTAAAAAGGACGAGAAATAAGTTTTCGAAACGTGTGAAGCGGGGTGTAGTTACGCAGTGCAAAACAAAGTAAATACAAAGACTTAATTTGGCATGCTAATTCAGATATGCATGATTTGGGCGAGTGTAAGTGAGTATTGCCATATTACCGAAACCTTCAACCTTTTCTCGTTTATTTATCTATTTACTTGTTTATTTTGCAGACCTATGTAACTTTCAACGCTTGCTCATTGTCAACAATTCAATAGCTAATCTAATATTTGAATCGAAAATATAAAACCCGTTATTAACCCCACGGATCCCACTACCTTCTGACTTGAAACAAGCAAATCTAGGCAAACGAACAAAATCTGTCAAATGAAAATGATTGGTTGGAACTTCACAGAAAACAAAGCTAATTTCAATGCATCGGAGCATGAAAAACCTGTTCTCTCTCCTTGCAGCATCCTCGAGATATTAACAAAAATTTGACATAGATGGCGCTAGTTTTACAGTGATTTCGCACTATGCAGAGATGCCAGATCTTCGAAAATCTTATGCGAATTCCAAATTTTAAACGTTTTCCAAAAACTTTTTTCTCTGGTTTCGAGTGTTAATGAGTTTGATTCGAACTTTTTCATTCACCAGCAATTCATGTGCTGTCGTTGTTCGATTATTGCCATTATATAATACAGTTTTGAGATTCCTTATAGGACATGATCGCTTGAATTTGAAGCGTTTCGAACCAAACATCAAACCGTGTATTCTTTACAAAATGCCTTTGAATGAACAATATCTTCAACATGTGGTGAGCTTTACGCTTAGGAAAACAACTTTTCGTATGATAACTCTCTCGTATTATATCGAATTAAATAAAGTCATACATGATGAGGATAAAGGCTCGAGTAAAAATAAACGGTGGGCTGAAGAAGAAAAAATCATATCGGTAACATGTTTCGCACAAAATGCTTATAGTACAAAATATACCTCTATAAGAAACAGGATATACGTATTGAAACGTCGACTAGTTGCTTTCCCAATGGATGGGGGACGGCTTCTACGTAAAAAGGCCATAAATGAAAATCATTTTTTACCACTTTCTACAATTAAATTTCAACTTCCTCTACATAAGAGTGAAACGTGCGGAACTCTTTCCGATCATCCTTTGAGATCTCCATTCAACATTTCTAACTAGGACATTAGTATTAACAATTTCACCATCCGGCTTACAGGCTCACCACGACTATTCACTACATGAAACTCATACTTTCAGGGAAGATAGAGCTTTCGAGAGCTACAAAATAACTATAAAATGTAAAGGAAAATTTTCTGCCCTTGGAAATTTCGAAAGATCACACTGCCCCGATTCCATCGGAAAGCCGATAGATTTGATCGTATGGTTCATACAATCCTAATTATCGCTCATGATACCATCGCTATTTTTTCTGTGCGGATAGAGCCTTTCAAGAGCTACAAAATGACTATGAAATATAAGGGACAATCTGCTGTGGTCGGAATTTTCGAAAGACCACATTGTCTGGGTTCTACAGGAAATTTAATGAATGTGGCAGTACGGTTCATACGATCTTCACTATCACTCATGATATGATGGCCGTTTTTCTATATAGATCGAGCTTTTCCAGAGCAACACAAGGATCATAAACAGAATAGGAAAGCCTATTCTTCGAAAATTTTGAAGGAGCACGTCACCCAAGTCGCCTGACAAAAACAAATGGAGCCCATAGTATCATATTCTGCGGAAAATTTGTCTAACTCGTGTACTATGAAATGTTAGGTTAACGTGTACTGGTTTATTCAAAGTACTAACCTTCGTAAACGGTTGCACCTTGCCAACAAGCTACGTGCAGTTGTTAGCGAAGGCCATTACGTTTATAAAATGCACCAGCTGTTAACCTAAGATTTCATACTACTCAAGTTGCACGAACGTCCCGGACAACGTAGGTCACCGAAGAGATTTGGAAGCTGTCATGGAAAAATCGTGATCAGTGTCTGAAAGAGAAAGAGGACGACACCAGCCAGTGTGCTTGTCAGAAGACTGCGCGTGAGAGTATGGGTGCCGCTGTAGGGGTGAGTGTACGTGTGGTGTATCTATGACTCGCAGCTGGTGGATGCCGCTATCCTGCTAGATGTTGCCGTGACCTCAGTTCACTGCGACACCTACACAACTACTCGCATACATCTTCACCACTCCACAACCATACTCGATAATCCAACCTCAGACTTCACTGGCCATCACTACCGACACTCACACGTACACTCGACGAATAGTTCGTTATATTTTGCGGTTATTTTGTATCTCTCAAAAAGATTTATCTCTACAGAAAAAATGGTCATCATATCATGAGTGATAGTGAAGATCGTATGAACCATACTATGAGATTGATTGGCTTTCCCATATGATCTGGACCATGTGGTGCTTCCAAATTTCCGAGCACAGAAAAATTTTCTTTATATTTGGTAGTGATTTCGTAGATCTTGAAAAGTCCTATCTGCACAGAAAAAATGGTGATGGTATCAGGAGCGACAGTCAAGATGGTATGGACCATACTACCGCATTCATTGAATTTCCTGTAGAATCCAGACAATGTGGTCTTTCGAAAATTCCGACCACAGCAGATTTGACCCTTATATTTCAGAGTAATTTTGCAGCTCTTGAAAAGCTCTATCCGCACAGAAAAAATAGCGATGGTATCATGAGCGATAATTAGGATTGTATGAACCATACGATCAAATCTATCGGCTTTCCGATAGAATCGGGGTAGTGTGATCTTTCGAAATTTCCAAGGGCAGAAAATTTTCCTTTACATTTTATAGTTATTTTGTAGCTCTCGAAAGCTCTATCTTCCCTGAAAGTATGAGTTTCATGTAGTGAATAGTCGTGGTGAGCCTGTGAGCCGGATGGTGAAATTTTTAATACTAATGTCCTAGTTAGAAATGTTGAATGGAAATCTCAAAGGATGATCGGAAAGAGTTCCGCACGTTTTCCTCTTATGTGGAGGAAGTTGAAATTTAATTGTAGAAAGTGGTAAAAAATGATTTTTATTTATGGCCTTTTTACGTAGAAACCGCGCCCCGTTCCTTCTATTGCGTAATTGTGTAAAACCTCACGGTTAATCAAAAATTTAATCGAAGATGAAACTGAAGATACAGGTAAGTGCTAGTATAGACTCTAGTGTGGTTCTTTTTTTATTCACATTCACAGGCCAAAAATCTGCAGTCATGAACAATACACTAGCATAAACTACAGCGACAATTTCAGCACTTCCAACTCATCGAAAAAAATAATACTAATAGCGCAAATTATTTCTGCGTTTACCCCACACAACGGCTAACTGATACTAGTAACAGTCGCATTAACATTTTCACACAATAAAACTAGCAACACAAGCAACGACCTTCTAAACACTTCTACATCTCAACAATTCAAAAATACCAACAACAATCATTGCAACACTTATAAACCTCAACTACAAATCAATTCTACCTATAAACAATCAGAACAATCATACATTGCCATCATGCGAAAAAAAATAGCAACCGCATCAGCTGAAAACTTACACACCAAAACAACACTGGCATCAGCAACAATCCTTTGATTTCCAATACATCTCAACAAAACATCAGTAGTGTCGAGGGCAACATGAACACATACTCACTTTAGGAAAATAACAACACTGGCGACAACTACAATGTCAGCGTGACCCGACAGTGGAGCTCCTGACAAATGAGTTTTCGACACTTCGACCTTATTTTAAAAAAAATTAATTAATAGTTTGGAACAGCAGAACCATCATTTTATTTACATTTGATAAAGCTTGATGAATAATACCTCGTGATGAATCATGTGATGCTATTGCACCAGAACTGATATTTGATTTGAATTCCACTGATATTGTTTCTTTAGGATTTGATCCATGAACATGATCTGCAACTTTAATATCTTCTGTTCCATCAAAACGTACGCGAGCAACACAGTCATTTCGACAACAACGCCAAATAATTTGAGATTTATTTGCACGACACTAACAAGAACCACTAAGTAAAAGTTGATCCTTGTGTTTTGAAGATTTCCAATTGACATTGTTAATGATAATAGAAAAATATACCAACAATAATGAAACCTTTATGAGCCAAACATATATAATTCGAAAAACTTGTTCATTTCTGTAAAGATGATTGGCTTAGCCACGAAAAATATGTCAGCGAATCATCAGTACCATCGAAAGATGCGCATGTTTCCCTGCACTACTTTCGAGTAAATTAAGTGATCCAATATTAATTTCGTGTGTTCTATACTTAATCGATGAGATTTCAATTTTGTGCGGCTGAAGTATCTGGAGCTCAACTGTCGGCGCACCCTATGGCAGCACTAATACATCGCACACCAACGATCGAACCGTTGAATATAACCAACTAAATGTTTACAAAGCTTTGTAAGCACCAAAACTAGAAATGTCGACTCTATACTCATATATCTTAAAAGTGCAGAAACACCAACAATGAACATATGAAGATTTGCTCGTCTCAAAAGAACAATAGCACTAGCAACAATAACTATCTGAATATTTACACGCCAGAACGTTATACTTAGTTTAGTAACGACATAATAATCTTAGCAACAATAATGCTCTTGGTGTTTACATGCTAAAAGGGCCCATAAACACCAGCAACCATAGTTTTGAAGGTGCACGTTTGCGTGTGGATGTAGGTATGAATGTGAATGTGCGCGAGTGTATGCGTGGGTGTCGGCATAGTTAGAAACGTACACCCACACCAATACCCACAGGCCACAACCACACACCCACACCAATATCCACAGGCCACAATCACACACCCACACCAATATCCACAGGCCACTACCAGACACCTACACCCACACCCACACCCACACAATGGCTTATTTTCTTAACCAAGAGAGATGATTCGCATTGCCTATTACTACACTAGCATCATCGAGAACTTTCGCAGAAAACTGGCCTTGTAACCGATTGTGACTTACCTTCTCATGCACACCGGAGAGAATCCTTAGCTAGTGAAAAAAACAGCTTTCCCGTTGCTGACCTCTACAATGACACAATCGCTGACTCTTCAGATGAAATTTTCTCTTAGCGTTTCCCATCGATTCATCCATGCAAACGCGACAAAACCTCAACCAATAGAGAACCATCTACCCATTGCTCACCACAGCAATGACACCATCGCTGACTCTTGGAATATACTTTCTTCTCACTGATTCCGATCAGTGACTTCATGCACAGACAGAAACATGCTTACCTGCTTGGAAAAAGCTTTGCCACTATTCCGATCTGCAATGATACATTCGCTCATTCATGCAAGCACTTTCTCCTTACTATTTCGGACCCATCTCTTCATGCAACCATAGCAACATGATGACCTGGTGCGAAAAAAATTCTCCCACCACTGACTAGTTTACTCACACCATCGGTTATTTTATCTCCAAATTTCATTCTTACCGATAGCGTTCTCTGGATGGAAACAAGAAATTATACTCCCCCAGTCGAACAAAGCCATTCCGTCACTGACCACCACACTAACGAAATCGCTTAGTCTTCCGATCAATGTTCTTTTCACTAATTCTGCTCTATCTGTCGTGGAAAACCGGCAAAAATAAAAAGCTACTGCACAACAAGTTTTCCAACTACCCACCTCTGGCAACATTCCATCGCTGACACTTCCTACGAATTTTCTAGTAAGCGAAATCCATTTGTCTTCATCGACGCAGCAGCAAGTCCCAAGCTGGTAGAACAAATATTTCCCACCACTGGCACATCTGAGTATGCCAATGCAGATTCTTCCCATAAATTTTCCATCTATTGACTACGATCGACTTCGAACGGGTAACGCAAATACAGTCAGCTGCTGCATAGAAAGTTTTCTCATTGTTCACCTGTCCACCAACACTTTCACTCACTCTTCGAAAACGTTTCCCTCACAGTGACTGCGATACCAACCCATATGCAAAACAGGATAACATGCTTCCTTGGCAGTAATAAGTTATCGCATTGTTGATCTAACCGAACACACCATCCCAGACCATCGCTAAAATTTTCTGTGCTCCATTCCCATCCATCCCTATATTAAACTGCGCAACATGTGACAATGCGACGAAAAACGTTTTCGCTTCCCAACATCTGACGTTCAAGTTCAATCCCGCCGCCAAAGAACTACGCTGATATTGATTAAGATCTTCAACCACCAAAACAACCCATACCATCGACTATAAGAATCAAACTTGTTCAATTTTCATATGCTCCATTCATATCATCGTCAACACCCAGCGACCAATTTCCATGTCAACGACTCGGATGTGCCAACCTGTAGCTAAAAACAAACCACCGCGGCTACTCCTGAAACACATCACTATTCTCGCATTCAGCAACCACAATCCGTTCCACTTCCCATTCGGCTCTTCTTCCATGACACGCAGCCCAGACTTTTCCATCCCATTGCATTATAATTATGGCCACGCCTCTACTCCCGCTAATATGCAAACACAGCAAACACTTATGCGAAACTTTTTCCAATTCAACCTTCTCCAACCACACGATCGCTCACTTCCCTGATGAATTCCTTTCTTCATAGCACGTAGCTTTGCTCTTCACTATCGCAACACATGGGCAAATGTGATGCAAAAATGCGGTCATTCCTGACTTCTGCCATCAAACCATAGCTGCCTTATACGATGCACTCCCTTCTAAGTACTCTCTAGCTATATTCTGAAACAATCACGCAAATATGCACAACGCTGAGGAAAAACTACTGCCATTTCTGACTTCTGCGATGAACTCATTTCGTAGCATTCACTAGCTGTGTTCTGAACCAATGACAAAAAAATCTTGCCATTGCTGACTTCCGCAATCCCACCATCCCTTACTTCTGCGATCAATTATTTTGTTAATTCTGCGTGGCGTTACTTATAAGCGTTCAGCGAAACATGCTCAAGTGTGACTAAGCTTTTTTACCATTGCTGTCTTCTGCAATAGCACCATCGCT